TGCTGAATAATAAATATAGCTTCCTCTTTTTTTTTTTTCTTTTTTTTTAATCTCTGTGTTTACCTAGGGAGGGGCACTTCTCGGAGGCATCAATGCCTTGCACACCTCATTTCCAGAAAATCCAATGGCACAGTATCGAACACAGTGTGAGCTCATACTGGAGCGACTGGAGCTGCAAGATCTCCTGCACAAAGAGCTACAAAGACTTGACAGGTTAGGACATGCAAGGTAACATAATAATCAATTGCAAAAAAGAATTGTTTGACAATAATATCTGGAGAAGATCCAAAAATAGAAACTGACATTGGGAAGGGACTTGGGACTTGTGCTGTAGAGGACATGGATAAGCAGAGAGATTGTTTTAAAGTAGCACTCCTGAGATCATCACAAGATCATTTCTCCTTCTGGGTTAAGGAATATACAAAAAATTTAAGAACGTTTTAATCAGTTCCCAAGTTGTATCTCAATTCTATGAACAGTTAAGTTTCAGCAGAGCTTCTTAAGGTCAAAATGCCAGATTCTGTAGCTGAGAAAATAATTTTACATAAGCTTTTGTTACTTGCTTGGTAAAATACAGCAGATCTGCTTCATATTTTTAAGCCACCTTCTGTGTTTGGCTTGTCAGGATCCATCCATTTCTGCTAATGGAAAATACAAACCTGAGTCAAAGTTCTCTTCTTTTGGGTGATTTTTTCTTTTTTACACACTAGGATTTTCACTGTCTCTTCTCTAATTTTCAGCTCACTGCAATCATCTTTGGAAACTTATTTGCTGTTACTAACAGAAAACTTGTAATGTTTCCAGTCCTCCACTAGGAGTGGAAGGAAATAAAATACAAAAAATTAACATTTGTTTCCTGAAATGAAATTAGGCTATAAAGAAACTTGTAATTTCTTATTGTTAGAAGTTTAATGTTATGAAAATACACTTTTTCCTTTAAGTATTTTTTGGACTTACTCTGTAACACATAGTAAGGACATCTTAAATAACCACAGAGACAATAAAGGCAAATTAACATGGGATATCTCCCAATAAAGAGACAAAATCTGGTTTTAAAATGGAGATGTTCATAAGGGATCATAGAAATGGAGGATGTGATATAAATACAAAGACAGCACCAGGTCTCTGATCTCCTTGGCAAGGTTTTTGTTATCTGCTCCAAAGGCCTTCTAATGAAGACGATTTTCCATTGCCACTGGGTAGTCAATTCCATTATTGCTCCATTGTAATACTCATAAAGGTTTTCCCAATGTCCCACTGAATCCTCTGTGCTGCAAATTGATTTCTTATTCCCCCTCTTCAGTAGCTTAGAGAATACTAAATGAATGTCCTCTTTAAAGCAACCTGTTCTGTATTAGGCTTGCTCTGTGCATTCTCCCTAACCCATATTTCAAAAAGACAAGTATGTATCTTTCAGCCCTTCTTGATGAGTCAGATGATTTCTGCTGCTTTTCATCAAAATTTTAAGAATAAGTAAATATTTATAATAACTATTCTAAAACATACTAGTTAATATAGTGTTTTCTCTGTCATGTAACAGAGGAACTGTTTATAATGCACAGGAATAGCTTCACCTACACTAGTGCAGTCACTTTGGGGATGGAGTGTGGCTGCTCTTTACTCATGTTTAGAATCACTATTTAGCAAAAAGTAGAATACTGTCTCCCTTGGAAATTATATGTTTAGGTACAATAGACAGAGTATCAGTTATACTGAGATTCAGGGGAACCCTCCTTCTAGCATCTCTGTTGCTTTGCAGGGCCCTGAGAATATTACAGCCACAGACAGTGGTAATTAAGTATTACAGGTGACTGAGGTGCTTCACTCTACCATGTGGAATTTTTGACAAGTTGAGTCTATAGTGATTGTGAGAGAAAATGGCTAGCAACCACTATTCGAAGTAGAACCTTAATTTTACATTCTGATAATTCATTTGAGGCTTTGCCTTGCTTAGGGTAATACGTAACCCTTAAGGGACTCTAGCAATGGCTGTAAGCACTTTGGTGTTGGTTTGGTTTTTTTTCTGTTTGATTTCCCAAGGAAATAAGTGGTAGATCATAGAATCATAGAATGCCAGGTTGGAAGGGACCTCAAGGATCATCTGGTCCAACCTTTCTAGGTAATAATACACTTTAAATGAGATGGCCAAGCACCCTGTCATTAAGGATCACTAATGCAATAAAGAAAGAAAAAAATAGAAAATTAAATTACTCTTACTTAATTATTTTTTTATTCCATAGATTACAGAATGAGAATTCATGCCAGCTGCAGTCCAAAGAGACAAATTTCAGTACTATTACAAGAGGCTTGAACAAGGATACATTTGGGCAGTCAAAGCAAATGTTTCCATCAGAACCTTCAAACCAACAAGAGGATAACTCCAGGCCACAGCCTTCTTTGCTTGAAGGCAACTGTGAAGGCGATATACAGCTAAAACCCTCATGCAACTCAGCACATGGTAATGGCAAAAATACAAAACACTTGGTTGGACGTAGTAAGATAGATGATGATGGCAGCCTGGCCTGGTTTGACAGCCTGGAAGAGAGCAAAGCTGACTCTGGAGAAACTGTTCATAAAAGATCTCCAGTGCCCACGATATCTCCAAATAACTTGGCTTCAAAAACCCTGTATGAGACATCCTGTTCTGAAGAAAGAAGTGCTTCAATACCAAGGAAGGGAAATGGAATGAGAGAATCACTAGCAACTGTAAATCTACAAGCTCCTTTGGAACAGGGCAAAGTTTCCAAGATAAGCAGGAAAAGGACTGAAGAACACAACAGTTTTTCTTCAGAAGCAAATATTCAGGACCCAGCATCACCAGGTCTTCGTGTGCAGGGTTCAGTGATCACACAACGGGTTTCTAAAAGCTGTCAGAGACTGCACACGGAGAAATCCCGTGGATTCTTTACCAGTACGCAGGACCCTGAGGCAAACGCCCTTCCTTCAGTATTACCTGCCTCTGGTCTGTCAGATCTTTCAAGTGATGCAGATTCTGTGCTAGGGGAGGAAAAGAGCAGCATATCTGTAGCAGCAAAACCAGCAAAAATTTCCATGAGAAAACGAAGTAAAAGTCATGTAGTGAAGGAAGCAAAGGTAACAAGTTCCCCTGAGCCAGAAATCCTTGACAGTGAAAGTCCTCCAGCAGCTAAACTAGCTAAATTTTCTTTCAGACCAAGGATAAAACTAGATCATTTTTCAGAGAAGAAAAATGAAGAATTTTCACTTTTTCAGAGTGAAACTATTTTTAAGCCTGGAGAGCAGCTCCAGGGAGAACAGCTGCCAGAAGAATGCTGCCCCCCTGAGAAATCCAAGATGACATTGACTCACTTAGGAAAAAGTAGTTTGGAAAAACGATCAATTGCTAATAAAAGAAGAGAAGAGCAGCAGAGTCAGGCCTTAGGCAAAGAGATCAGAGGAAGTGCAACATTACACACTGATGTCAGTTTTGATGCTGTGTCATCTTCACCCACTGAAAAGAAAAAGGAGGGAGAGGAGAAGCTTGGTGGCCCAAGCACAGGGAAGGTGAGCTCCAGCACATTAGCCAGACTGTCAGCATTCTCCTTTGCATCACGTCCTGACTCAAAATTGCAAACCTCACCTACCATTAAAATTGACACTAGCAATGAAAGCCATAGCCCATTGCTGAAGGTGCACGTGAGCCATCCTGGCAGAAGGAAGAGTTTTGCATTGGGAAATGCTGCTAAAGGCAATGTGGCCGCACAGAAATCTCTCTTCTCAATAGCAGAGCTAGATGATGCTACATTAGATTTTGATTGGGATGAAGAGGTTAGAAAAAATCCAGTCACATGACATGTATATAATCCAAATTACTTAACATACAATTTTTCTGATTTGCCATCCTTCTATCAGTTTTATCTGTGGTTTACAAAGCATTAAAAAATAATCATCGTGGACCTCTGCTGATACCTGTAACAAAGTGGAGAGCAGCATGAGTTCTCTGCCACAATCTACCCTGTGACCACAGTCATGATTGGACTAGTTCCTTTGGAATGGTGCAAACACCTCTTGCCACTAAGTTAAAAGGGAATATAATCTTCATGAATTTCGAGGAATCATTATGACTCAATTTTACACTTTACCATAAACTGCAGGTCTTACAGCTGTGCTCTTTAATATAGATGAAACGTTACCCACGTTTCACAGCCGAGTAACAGTTGTTCGTGAATAACTTCAATCATCGTTAACAATAATCCAAACATATAAAAAACTTTTCCCCAACAGTTAGTTCCCATTGCAGCAACACTTGTTTTGAATCTTTGGCCATTGTCTTCATCTTGCTTCTCAAGTGGCATTGATGCTTTGGCAATGTGGACCCACCAGTCATCTGGTTCCAAGTTCCAGAATATTAGTGTTCTAATGAACACCATATTTAACAGTACAGTGCTGTTTCAGTGCCATTTCAGTGCCACCCCATGATGCCATCAGTAGTGGCTGTCCTTCCAGTCCTGGTTGTGTCTACCCAGAGTACCAAGGTGATCAGCTTCTCCAGTAACCTGTAAGGAAGCACAGAACTGGCCTCAGCTTAGAATCTAGGCTTCAGGGTTAGAAATCAGTGATTATCTACCGAGCACTGATACAGTGGGGTTTTTCCATTCCTGTCCAGGCCTTCCCAGGCATACAAGCCTTGGGGTTTTACCAGTGGCATAGGCACAATCCCAGTAGAGGGCAGCTTCACCATTACAGGTTGGCCCACCTGTGTCCTTTATAAGGACTGATTCTTTTTATCATCTGGTGTAGGGTCAGAGCCTGCTACTGGTTCCTCAGGAAAGACTGCTTTAATTTTGGCGTTTCCATAACTTCCAAAGCAATTGTTAACAGAAAGACTGCTTGCGGTTACTGTGTGTCCCAGTCAGTGTGAAATACCAGCATGTTTCTTAATCAGATTGTTGGTTTGTTGAACTATACCCTTAGCCAGAGGATAATATAATGTGTGGAACATCCATTTGATGCCTTCTTCTTGTCCCCAGCCTTGTAGCACTATGGCCGAGAAGTGTGAGCCATCAGTCTCCAGAGTAGGTAAAGCACTGAACCAGTCAACACTGGCATGGTTTGATCCCCTGTGGCAGTGCTAACTTCTGTGACATAAGTTGTTGTGGAGTGAGCTGCAGGGTCTTAATGCCCATGGCTTCCACCCCACGACCCCCAAAGCTCCACATACGGCCTCCACCATCGCCTGTCAGCTAACATATCAAATCCCAGCATATTCCTCTTATAAAGTCTTAGAGCCACCGCTGTGGCTGTCAACAGTTTTTCTCCAGGCAGCCAAAACTGCATTTGAGCTATGGGACATTTTTCTTTCCACTGTCCCTGTTACCCACATTATGTTTATAGTTTTCCTAGAAGGTCTAATTCCTAGTTTCTTGGGTTGTTGCTTTTTCAGAACACTAATTTGGGCTCCCATATCCATGAAGAAATCTAATCTTACTCACTTTGGAAATACATATATAGAGGGTTCTTTGTTAACGGATCATTGGCATAAATTTACTATATGGAATGGGCAGCCCGATTCCCAAACCGCAGCTTTTTTTTTTGGTCTCCTTCAATGCCTCCCACTGGGACATGAAAGGGTTAACCGCACGGTCCTCTGCAGGGAGGGCGCCAATTGCCCCTTTTCTCCCTGGCTCCCAAATTTTGCCTCAAGCAGTTCCACCAATTTCAGAGCTATTAGGTATGGGAACCCCAGCGCTGAAGCTTTTTGCCAAAAATCCTTCCTACTCGGTTCGGAGGCCCGACCCGGTTTTTTCCACATCGGTTCTGATTCCCAATGGAAGAGGATAGGGCGGTGGTGTCTGACGGGGGGGATGGGAAGGGGCGGGGCGGGAGGGCGGTGTTTAACTTCTCATACCTGCCTTTGCCCTGTTGGTGGCACTCTGTTCACACCAGTCCATCTTACGCCCGTGAGCGACTATGTAATGTCTCATCCGAAGTCATGACGTGTGTCGGAGGGTTCAGAGGATTCTGCTGGTTATGTTCTATAGCACTCTGAATCCTTTCAGAGCCTGGACATGTATCTTTAAGCCGTCTGGGAATCCTCGGATAAGCGGTCTCAGGCAGGTCGGGTCTATGGGAGCAACTATTGGCTCCCTGTGCTGTCCCTTCTCCTGCATTGCCTGGGTACATGCAGCTTTTTGCACCACTTCTGCTGGCTTTGACAGTCCTTTCTTCCATATAGTAACAGGCTCCCCTCTCTCCCTGGGATCCACACTGCCAGCCCAGTTAAGCCACTTGTGATATGATAGACTGGTTACCTGCCAGTCTGTCCCTTAGAAATACACTGGGACTCTAAAATCCCCAGGCCTTGTCATTGCTCCACAAGATCCTATCCCCTCCTGTCAAAGACACTCCACAAATACTCAGTCTTTGTTTCAGAACGTCTGTGGTAAAATTTTGTTTGTAGATCAATTTAGCTTGGAGCCTGTTCACAGGGTATTCTGGACAGTGGTTCAGGCTTTCTTGCCATTCAGTCACACGTATGCCTTTTCATCCTGATTACTGGATGCACTTCCCTCCCCTCTAACTCCTCAGAGCTGCTTTGAGAGGCTTCTTTGCTTTCCACTCCCCAGTCCTCCAGGTGTAACCCCTCAGTTAACTTCCTGCTTTGGACACTAGGGCAATTCTCTGCCTGCACTCCTTCACCTGCTTGCACCTTAACGATTTCAAGGAACATCTGAGACCTCTTCCTCTTTTCAGTTCTGCCTCTAGCCAGTATATTTTTGCCTGTGCCTGAATTAGACAAGCACCTAAAATGGAAGCCATAGTTTCTTTAGCAATGCTACCCCAAAAACTTCCACAGCTTCGTTGCAGCTTTTCCACGACCACTGCAGGGTCAGACCACTTCTCCTTTGCCCATTGAATCTCCAGAGGAGAAGGTGCACAGCTGTGACTCTGCAGTAACTCCTCTACTGACGCAAATAAATGTGATGGAGGCATCCACAAACACACAGGAGTTTACTAGGAATGAACATTTATTTCAATCAACACTAATTAGCCCTCCAAAAAATAAAAAATTAGACCCCAGATTCAGATGTCAGTCAGGAATATTAATACACCACAGCACAACTACTTAAGGATTCTTAAGCTTGTATGACTAGTCTTAACATGGATAATAATAATCCTACATGTGTGCATGCACTTGGACAAAGGGAAAGCCTCCCCCTCAGGTACTCAGAATCACTTGTCCAATAGTGACAAGGCTCACTCAAAGATATATGTAGAAGAATTATCACTCACCAAAGATGAAGTCACTCAACCTCGAGAAGTTTCCTTAGGTGGCATCCCAACCTAAGAAGCAGGCTTCCTCACAGACCCGCTGAACCAAGGAAAAACCTAATCCAAGGACTTCCCAGCAGGAACCCGGTTTTTATGAGCTAAGTCAGATCTGACCTGTAGTCATTCATTCGTTCATCTACCAGGGCCAAAGCATCCCACTGACTGGGGACTCTGTTCGTGATCAGGGGGTCCCACCCCAACAACCCCCAAATTTCCCCGAAAAGCAGGTGCCATCCTGTCTGCTGGCAGTTCCACAGCCCAGCAGGGGGTAAGACCAGAAACTGGTTGGTCTCAGCTCTGACAAGTCTAACCCAACAAAAGTGGGGCCCTTAAGGGTTCTTCTGCCAGCTCCAGAGCATAACAAAGATCATAACAGCTTCCAGCATTGGCAGGGTGGGGCAAGGGGGCACAAGTGCTCTGCCACACAACCAATGGACACACTTACTTTAAGGGCCATATACTTTACTTTGGCTAAGAACTGCATATACTGCAGGCCTGATGTGGCTATGAGTTTTCTAAACTCCTCCCAAGACAGCTTGTATCAGTTGACTGTTTTGATTGACCTGATGTAACCTGAAGACTTGTATAGTTACATTCATAAATCCAGAGTACAGCGAGTCTTGCAGAAGAGCAAGTTAAATTGACTGTTGTCCTTTATGTCATGTGATGGGTAGAACTATACATTATTTAGATTGTCCTTCCAAGTGACTATGTCCCTTTAGAAAAATGATTACTGAAAAGCTACGTCATTATATTTTGTTCATCAATATATGCTGTTTGTCTCAGCATAGTTAGCAATGTTCTGATTTATCATCATGCTATGGTAAGTATTTCTGTATTATCAGTATCGTGACAATTTTGCTGCATCTCTGGTTACTGTCCTTGTCACACTGCTGATGTTGAAGACATGGATTGAGAACTTTTTGTTTCAGGTTTTGTTTTGTTGTGGGTTTTTTGTTTGTTTGTTTGTTTGTTTTTTTCATTTAAATTTTAAATACACTGGTTCAGGTATCCATGTCTGGATTTTGGGTCATTTTATCAAAACCCAACTCTAATATTTTAAACACAGATCACAGAAGTATCATGGTTGGAAAGGACCTCCAATATCACCTAGTCCAACTGTCCACTTGGGGGGAGGGAACAACACATCCCACCCATACAAACAACAAAAAAACTCCCACAGCTTCACACCCCACAATATGACAACAGCACACAGGCCACAGAAAACCTACCAGACCCACTAGAGCATGCCCTGAAGTACCACACCTACATATTTCTTGAATACCTTCTGGGATGATGACTGTACCACCTCCCTGGGCAGGCTTTTCCAGCACCTGACTACTGTCTGTTGTGTTCGTAGAGTCATAGAATGGTTAAGGCCAGCCTCCCTGCTATGAGCAGGGACACCTCACACTAGACCAGGCTGCACAAAGCCTCATCCAGCCTGGCCCTGAACACCAAGGGGCGGGGCGGGAGGGCGGTGTTTAACTTCTCATACCTGCCTTTGCCCTGTTGGTGGCACTCTGTTCACACCAGCCCATCTTACGCCCGTGAGCGACTATGTAATGTCTCATCCGAAGTCATGACGTGTGTCGGAGGGTTCAGAGGATTCTGCTGGTTATGTTCTATAGCACTCTGAATCCTTTCAGAGCCTGGACATGTATCTTTAAGCCGTCTGGGAATCCTCGGATAAGCGGTCTCAGGCAGGTCGGGTCTATGGGAGCAACTATTGGCTCCCTGTGCTGTCCCTTCTCCTGCATTGCCTGGGTACATGCAGCTTTTTGCACCACTTCTGCTGGCTTTGACAGTCCTTTCTTCCATATAGTAACAGGCTCCCCTCTCTCCCTGGGATCCACACTGCCAGCCCAGTTAAGCCACTTGTGATATGATAGACTGGTTACCTGCCAGTCTGTCCCTTAGAAATACACTGGGACTCTAAAATCCCCAGGCCTTGTCATTGCTCCACAAGATCCTATCCCCTCCTGTCAAAGACACTCCACAAATACTCAGTCTTTGTTTCAGAACGTCTGTGGTAAAATTTTGTTTGTAGATCAATTTAGCTTGGAGCCTGTTCACAGGGTATTCTGGACAGTGGTTCAGGCTTTCTTGCCATTCAGTCACACGTATGCCTTTTCATCCTGATTACTGGATGCACTTCCCTCCCCTCTAACTCCTCAGAGCTGCTTTGAGAGGCTTCTTTGCTTTCCACTCCCCAGTCCTCCAGGTGTAACCCCTCAGTTAACTTTCTGCTTTGGACACTAGGGCAATTCTCTGCCTGCACTCCTTCACCTGCTTGCACCTTAACGATTTCAAGGAACATCTGAGACCTCTTCCTCTTTTCAGTTCTGCCTCTAGCCAGTATATTTTTGCCTGTGCCTGAATTAGACAAGCACCTAAAATGGAAGCCATAGTTTCTTTAGCAATGCTACCCCAAAAACTTCCACAGCTTCGTTGCAGCTTTTCCACGACCACTGCAGGGTCAGACCACTTCTCCTTTGCCCATTGAATCTCCAGAGGAGAAGGTGCACAGCTGTGACTCTGCAGTAACTCCTCTACTGACGCAAATAAATGTGATGGAGGCATCCACAAACACACAGGAGTTTACTAGGAATGAACATTTATTTCAATCAACACTAATTAGCCCTCCAAAAAATAAAAAATTAGACCCCAGATTCAGATGTCAGTCAGGAATATTAATACACCACAGCACAACTACTTAAGGATTCTTAAGCTTGTATGACTAGTCT